GTAGGCAGTGAGGCAGCAGAGGGGGAGAGGGAAGCAGGCCCTCTGCTGAGCAGAGAACTCGATGCGTGGTTCATCCCATCATGATCCCCTGGGATCATGACCTGAGCCAAAGGCAGAGGCTTAACCCACTGAGCCACCCAGGTGCCCCAACAACAGGCATTACTTTCTCAGGGTTCTAGAGGCCGGGCAGTCTGAGATGGGGGTCCGTCATGGTCAGTTCTGGTGGGGGCTCTCTTCTGGTTTCCAGTTGGCTGCCTTCTTGCTGTGTCCTCCCATGCTGGGGGTAAGGGAGAGGGAGAGAGAGCACATGCACAACACATACCAGCTCTCTAGTCTCTTATAAGGGCCCTCCTGCCAACACACGGGCTCTACTTTCCAGGCATCACCCAGACCTCATTACCTGCCAGAGGCCCCAGCTCCTGATGCCATCACATTAGAGGTTAGGGTTTCAATCCAGAGTTTTGAAGGGACACAAACATCCAGTCCAAGACAGTTGCCCATTCCTTCAAATCAGTGGTGCTAATTAAGGGTGCTAATTATTTAGGCAAAAATCAGATAAAATTGTCTCATAGCTTTGCAGTAAACCAAAAATCTCTAGAGATTGTGGCATAAGGGAAGAATAGGCAGCCCCTTCCTGTTTCCTGCATGAGCATTTCTGCAGACATGTGGGATAGATCTCCTGCTTGTGTGTGAGTGTGAGTGAGGGACCTGAGAAGTGTCAGGTCACAGGGGCCTTGGCAGTGTCTCAGCCTGTAGGTTCATGGCACCTAGCGCTTACCCACTACCTCTAGCGTGGGGCCTTGGACAATGTTCTGTGACACGCAGACGTCAAAGAGAGTTTGCTGCTCCGTTTCTGGGGAGAAGCAAGCCTCCTTCCTTCCAGGGGTTAAGGAAGAGCTGAAGGAAGCCCTTCACACCAGTTTTTCATATCAGTGGAATGTTCTTAAGTCTGAGAGTTGTTTCAGAAGATGTCTCGGTGAAGGTAATATGCAAGCTTCCATTGGGAGGTAGTCCCAGATTAAAGTTTCCCATCAGGAGGAGCCATATTAAACTTCCTGGGGATTAGAAGTATTAATCAATTGAGCATACTTCCCTATGTTTCTGGATTGGATAAAAATAGTTCCTTTTGGGGCGCCTGGGTGGCTCAGTGGGTTAAAGCCTCTGCCTTTGGCTCAGGTCATGATCTCAGGGTCCTGGGATCGAGGCCTGCATTGGGCTTTCTGCTCAGTGGGGAGCCTGCTTCCCTCCCTCTCTCTCTCTGCCTGCCTCTCTGCCTACTTGTGATCTCTCTCTCTCTCTCTCTCTCTGTCAAATAAATAAATAAAATCTTTAAAAAAAAAAGTTCCTTTTATTTTGCTTCTTTGTGTTGGGGGAAAGAAGGAAAACGGCGAATGTCATGGAATCTCCGAACCCCTATTGCTGAGAGGATGCCGCCTCCTGTAAATCCTATTTCTTCTGGTTTTCAACAGCCGAGCAGGTGGAATATCTGGTCAACGAAAAGCACATCTACCTGCTGCCAAGTGGTCGGATCAACATGTGTGGCTTAACCACGAAAAATCTAGATTATGTGGCTACCTCCATCCATGAAGCGGTCACCAAAATCCAGTGAAGAAGCCACACCTGAACCAGCACCACCAAAGCGGCCCTCTGTCCCGTGTGTTCCCTGCCTGCGCCAGCCTCGCTCTGTGTGTTGTGAATAAGACTCAGGAGGACTGGAACCGGCTCTGGTGAGGTGGCCTCTGGTCAAGGCGGCCCCGCACAGGGCAACATCCCTTGTCAAGGAACGGGGGCCTGGGATCAGAGCCTCTTGGGAGGCCAGAGCAAATCAGGTTTTTATTTAAGAAGAATAAAAAGGTACTTTGATCATGAGATGTAGTTATCTTGCTCCCTCACTAGAAGCCACAATGTTGCCTCTGTCACTCCTGTGCTTCTGTGTATTGCTTGACTCTGCACAAAATCCTGCCCCAAAGATTAAGTTGTCTGAAGAGCCAACTGTGATTGTGAGTGTTGGCTGTGTCATTAAAACTTGTCATCTCCACCCAGAGTGTCTGTCTCCTGCTCTTTCTCTGTGGCTGTGTCCCTAACCTTAAGCTTTAGCTCTCTGGGGGCGGGCAAGGTAAGAGATAGCTTTACATCTCTCTCTCTCTCTCACACACACACACACACACACACAAACTGAAACAGAAGTTTTACACAACAGTATTTACCCTTGCTGTGAGCAGTGTGTTCTGATAGTTTCTGTCCTATTGGGTTCTGTTTCACTGAAGAAATGAATTGAGACCCGTGGAATTGATTTTGTGATCCACTCATGGGATGCAAGCCATAGTCTAAAAAGAATGCTCTAGAGGAATTTGCTAGTTGCTTAAGAAAAAGCTAGGAGGTGACAGTACCTTCAAGGGGCCAAAAGAAGTCTGAGACCGTAAAGCGGGGTGTAGCCCTCCCCAGCGTATACCTGCCCCACAAAGTCTTGGATCTTAGTATTTTATTTCTCTTGTTAGGGAGAATTTAATTTTTCTCTTGGGGGAAGACTTTGGTGGAAAAAAAAATGGTTAAAAGCACTTATTTAAACCAAAATGTCCCTACCAAAGTGCTAAAATACTTTTTTGTGTTTAAAAAAAAAAAAGCCCCAATCAAGGGTAATTTGGTCCTCCTTCTATCCTGACACATAGGCTGGTTTTCCCCCTTCGTGTTCTAGTCCCCTCCGTGCTCACGTGAAAAAAGCGTTTTGTGTTGGGTTTGGGGAGAGCTGGGCTTCGGGAGTTATTCAGATTTCTGCACCACAGTTGGTCTTCGTGGGGCCTCATACAGGTGCGCGCCGTGCACTCCGGAGGCAAGACTGTTCCTTAGATGGTCCGTCTCCTCAGACGGAGGGGTGCTCCCACCACCAGACTCTGCCACTTGCCGTGTAACCTTGAGCAAGCCACTTACTCACTCAGAGCCTGTTTAGAAACTAAACTTTGCAGGGTGGTTTTGAGACCGAAACAAGCAAACGTGTACCTAGCACAGTACTCAGGCACAGAAAGCCCTCACCAAAACAGCTGCTGCTGGGTAGCAAACTCTGAAGGCTCCTGGGAGTCCGTAGTTGTCCATAGGCCACCCATTGACCTTGACCTTGGTAGGGGTTTGAGAACCCCCTGGTAGGTATCAAATTCCAGCCTTCCTTCCACAAAGATTAGATGCCCAAACACACCTCAACCTGCCTGGTTCTTGCCTCCCGCTGGTATTGGTTGGCTTAACATTGACCCATATGCCTGACCCACTCCCCTGTGACTTTTCCAGCCTTTTGCTGGAAACCAAAGGAGTTGTGGCACTTTGGTTCCTCTCCAAAGGGTCTGGGGAAGCGAGGCAGTGCGCCCAGCACATTGCTTCAGGGGCGGGCCCCTGAGACCTTGAACTTGGAAGGTGCCCAGTCCAGTTCCTTTCCCATCACCTGGATTCAACAAATGCCAGCCCTTCTCGTTACTTTTTGTCCTCATTCACACTCTGGCTGCTCATTTGAGTTTTTTTTTTTTAATGCTAGCATTTGCTGCAGTAAAACCTTACCCATCTGGGGCCCAGAGTAGAACGCAAGGGCTTTACTGTAACTTTAACCGCAGCCTCACACCTGGCCTTGAGAACCTCACCTCCTCAGCAGGTGGGCCTCAGCTGAGATAATCTTCAATGTGAAACCACATCAGAACCTAGCTCTTCCAAGGTGAGAAAAACATTCCAGGAAAAGCATTTTCATTTTATTTAAAAATTATTTACAATTTATTAAGCCTTCATAAATGCTTTATTTTAAAATCCTCTTTTTTTTTTTTTTTAATTTTTTTAACCTGAAGAAAATCTCAGGGAACGGAGCAGGGAATGGGGAGAGGAGTGGTGACAGGCTCCTTTGGGGTTTTGCAAAGGGATGGATGTGACGCAGCAGCAGTGGCCTGAGCCCCATGGCCTGAGGGGTAATGATTAGCCAGGCAGGCACTGTCCGGCCAGTGGCCAGCAGGGCCAGAAGACTGCATGATGACAGTTCTTGCTGGAAACTCACTGTTGGCCGGTTTGGGTCTCAGGTGCCCAGCATGGAGGGGCTGACACTTGGCCTATTCCTATTAGGTAGGAGCAGGTGTTGGGGATGGGTGACAGCTAGGGGGTTCTCTAGGGGTCATGCACTGCTGAGCCTCAGGGAGAGTCAGGCACGGGGCGGAGAAGTCAATCATCCATTGCAGGAAAGGGCATCTCCAGCTGGAAAGTCCTTCCACGTGCTGTGGCCCTCCCATCTGCAGCACCTGCTCTGGTTGGTGGGGAAGAGGGGACAGAATTACGTGGGGGTATTGTGACGGTACCCTGGGGTGTGCCAAGGCTTTCCAAAGACCTTCACTTCTTGGCAGGTGCTAACTTTCCCAATTGATTCGATAAACACTGGAGAAGACCGCATGTCTCTCAAAGTCTGTCTCGGACTGGCCCCTATTCACTTCACTCTGCATTGAAGAAACTTTGGGGTGAAAGTTTCAGTAGTTAAAATAGTGGTTTTTAACCTTTTGTGGGTCTCAGACCTTTGAGAATCTCCTGAAAGCTTTAGCCCTCTGGACAAAACAGGTAAGAACACATACACTAAATTCTGACAGTATTAGGGGTTTCTCAGACCCTCTGAAGTCCAATGGTGGACCCACCTGGGGTGACTGACCCCCAAATTAAGAACCCCTGAGTTAAAGGTTCCTTTGGGTTAGCATTTTCTCTTGAGATGCAAATAACCCAGAGGAATTATCAGTCTCCCCCTCTCACCTTGTGATTACTGACTGAATGGGTGTGGGGGGTATGACATTAAAGGTTTTGGGGGAAGGCGAGGTAAGCCTGGATGGTATATCCCAGGGAAAGATTTGAGAATGGTTTTTGGAGATTGAGCAGGCAGAACGGGATCACTGGATCCCTGATAGAGGGAACTCAAGAGATGGGAGATAGAAAGGGAGACAGGTGTCCCAAAGACAACCTTCACTTACTCCCACATACTCCTGAAGGTTTGTTTGTTGGCGGTGTGGTTAGGTGAGCTGAATTTTAGTATTGAAGTAGGTATGGCGTCATTCTGCCATCTGGTGGCCATACTTGGAATTGCATCTGCTCTGACATCCAGGTGAAAAAAAGATCTAGTAAATTCTTCGAATAAAGTACCCTTAGCTGACCTGCTGGGGTGGAGGAGTAAGGGGTGGGGTGGAGTGGAGGGAGCGGATGAAAAAGAAGAGCAATTCTTCAGTGTTCCCATGTAATGCACACTGAAGTCCCATGAGAGCTTGCATCCTTCTTGGCTGACCTGGGCACTCTTTGGTTTGTCATGGCTAAACTTGCTTCAACAGCTTAGAAATTTTCTACGTAAGTTTCTGTTTGTTTGCTTTGATTTCAACTTAAAACCTGAAGTTCCATCTCTGGCTCCCAGTCCGGTCTCTGTTCTCTGCTCCTCCTCTTCAAGAGCAGATTTACGACTGGATGGAGAACTGCTAATTGGGAGCCAAAAAGATACGTCCCTGGGAATAAACAGTGACTTGAGGTTCCATCTCACGGTCTTTCCATTCCAGCCGAGACACACTTCCCTGGCTGCTAGAACCCTTATCTAACAGGAAACTGGTCACCGACAGTTTTCTGTTCTGTACCATCCCATGCCAACATAGCCGGGTCCCACTGCATTAAAGTCCTGGAGGAAATCTCGGGGCATCTTCTGCACTGACCGTCACACCTGCTTCTCCACTGTCTCCATGCCTGTCCGCCGGTGGCACCTTCTGAGCTGAGCGAAGCATGAAATATGGCATCAGGGGATCCCAAAGAACAAAAAAGGAGTCAGGGGTCCCAGAGTGGCATTGTCAGCTTGGGGTCATTTCTCCTCCAGTCCCAGACTATACTGTGGAAAAGACCATTTCTAGCATGTTCCACCGGAGGCATCTCCATCCGTCATGGCCACAGCAAGGCTCTGAATCAAACTGGAGGCAACAAGGGGGAATCTGCCAAGCTGACAGCGAGGGGTGAGGAGGTGGTAAGGAAAGCAGAATGCTCTGTCACCTGTGGGAGGCCTCGGGAGACGCAGAAGATGGGAGGGTGGGTTCTCCCTCAACGCTGAATCTCACATTCCCAGCAAACACTCGGCCCCGTCATGTGATCAGAGGCATTAAATTGGAGTTCTCCTCAGAGGCTCGCTCTCCATCGGGTGACCTCTTCCGTTTTCGACCACCTGGAAAACAATTTGTAAGGGTCACCTTCTGGCCGGGAAGAGGCAGAAATGCAGACAAAGCCCTTGACAGTTTGGCAGGAAGTAATCTGCATGGAATCCCAGTGTAGGTATCAGCATAGGTACATCTGGAAGAATTAAGGCAACGCTTTCTACCTGAGAGAACACCTCCAAAAAGCCAGGCTAGTATCAGTGGAATGGAGATTCTCCCCCCAGAGGTTTGAGTGAAGCCCACGTAATGCTTCAGGATCATCTCTCCATCCCCTGAAGGCCCTGGCCCAGCTCACAGACACCTGAGAGAGGATTGGTCTTCCAGCCTATGATGTTCCAGGAGCCAGGGTTTTGGTGGGTGTAGCTGGGAGCCATGCCCACGCATCTACATTGTGTAGCTTGGAAACAACCCTCCTTCTGCAATGGGGCAGGTGGGATAATCCCATAATTGTCCTCAAGGATGGAGGAGAAGTCCATCCCTAGCTCTGTTGTTTTTAGGAAGGAGTATTTTTCACCTTGTTCTATCTGCTATCGACTTCCTTCCATGAAGGATATTGCTCTCCTTGCTACTAAGTCTCCTGGACACAAATTCTTTCTTTAAAGGATCAGACAGTAAATCTTAGAGGTTCTGCAGGCCATCTAGCCCCTGCTGCAACTGCTCAATGCCGCCGTTATGACCATAGATAACAAATGGGTCTAGCATCCAATAAGTCTTGATTTATAGGACTCTCTGATTCACAGGCAGGAGAGGGAGGTCAGGATTTGGCCATGACCATGGCTTGCAGACCCCAGTCCTAGATGACCACCAGCTAAATGGGACACATCCCCTAACTCTCAAGGGCACAGTACTGGTCCAAGCCCAGTTACGGATTTTCATGGATGTACTCATCAGGTTCCTGCAAGGAGTCAATGGTTCCTCCTCCAGGAGTGATGTCCTAACATGCTTTTTCTAGTGACCAGGTGGTGGGAGTCCTTCATCTGGGCAAAGAGCTACTCACTCAAGGTTCTCAGCAGCTTCTTGCCCACGGTTTCCTCAAAGTCGCTACTGCAGGGGCTTGTCTCTGTGTCCAGGTTGATATTACAGCATTCACTGTCTGACGCTGAGAGAAAGGAGAGAAGAAAGAACTCAGGTCTTCCCAACACCCAGGGAGCTAGGAAGGGTGACTCTGGCTGATGCTTCTCAGCAGGTAGCAGTTCAAAACCAGAGGCAAGGCCGTAGTGGCCGTGACAGGGAGGGGTGCCCAGGGAGCCATGGGCTTTTGTTAGTCAGCAAGGGGCACTTTAGGGCCACAAAAGGAACAAAGATTCCAGGAGCAAGAATCCAACTATCCAAACGTTCTTTGGCAGGAGAGGGGAGACGAGGATAAGATGTTCTCTGTTCAGTATCTTTGCCAGACCCAAAGCATATTTGAGGACTCTGGAGGTGGGGTATCACCTTCTAATACTTGCTCAGACCCGGGAGATCATGGGACTCAATAATAATTAAGCACACGTCTCTAACACCTCCCACCGAACCCAGTGGGGGTTCAGAGGCACAGAATCTCAAAGCTAGGAAGAGGCCCAGACCCTTAATTCCCGTGAGGTAAGGACCTGACCTGGGAGGCAGAGTGGGGTGGTGGACACTTCTGGGGGTGCTTGCTTCAATGCAGTGTTATAGACCAGACCAGTCCCTTCTCTGGGCCTCAGGGTCCTCACACCAGGTCCCTGTATCACACAAGGCGATGGACTAGACGAACTCTAAAGACTATCTTCTCCATTCTTTTGCCTTTGATACAATTTCTTGCTACATGCTTTAGCTACTAAATTCAGTGTGCAATGGAGAAAAAGAACATCCGTTCTGTATTCAGGTCTCGGAACGGTGACTCTGTATGTCCCAGATACTCTGAATTAGCCACAAGTTCAAATATATTGGCCTACTGACCACAAAAATGGAGAGCACTTGTTGGATCATTGCCCTGGACTTTAGGGGACTCAGACTATGGACTGGAGCAGGTCTTGGAGGCCTGGTGGGGTAACTGCTACCCTGCGGGGACGGGTTGCGGGGAGCACAGGCGGGCTGCAGGTTTGGAGAAGTAGATCTCGGCAAGGCAGGTACAAGAGGATCTCAGGACTGGTGTGTCGCTGGGAGCTCGGAGCAACACGACCGCCAAGATGGAAGTGTTCAAAGTTTCAGAGGGAGGAGATAGGATCTCAGCGCTCAGGACAAGTCCTACAGATCACCTCCCGCCCAAAGCAAGGGAAGAGCCCTGTCGGTAGGAGGAACAGCTGACTTCAGTCTCCTCGTGCGTAAGGCAGGTCTAATGAGAACTTCCTACTATGCCCAGAGCCTGGTACCAAGCACTGTGAGATGCCCCTGTATTTGCTATCTCATTTATGCTCAAAGCTACTTGATGATCTGGCCACCGTGATTTATATCTCTTAACATAAGGAAGAAACTTACCTATTAAGATCAGGTCTTCCTGGGAGAATGGAGGGAGGGGCCCGAGGAGGGGCCCGAGGAGGGGCTGGAGCTCTGTGTGTGTGTGTGTGTGTGTGTGTGTTTCCCTTCCCTCGCTCCCTGTGAGAGAAGGTGGGAAATATCACATGGGGGCTGGTGTCCCTCACCCGGCTCTCCCCAGGGCCATCCCGGTGCCCGACAATGAGGACCCTGATTTCCCTCCCTGACCTGCTGTCGTAGGAATGGCTGCAGAAGACAGTGAGAGCTGCTGTGTGCTCTGCTCCTCGAGGTCTGTCATTTCCTCCTGGGTGAAGGCCATGTCCTCCATCCTCAGGTACACAACCTCGCCGGGGCTTCTCAGCCCATCTGAGCGGCTGCCTGGGGAGGACAGCAAGTGTGTGACCAGTCTGCTCCGGAGAAGACCCGAGACTTCAGCTGGCCTCGGCTGGCAGCTCTGGGCAGGGGTGAGGGAGGAAGGGGGCGCTGCGCTCAGCCCGGGCCAGCCCACCCACTCGACTTACACGGCAGGCTGTTCCTATTGCTCAGGAGGGTGATGGCAGGGTCATCCTTGGGGGTCTGGGGCGTACCCCGGGTCGTAGGGGCTTTGGTGGAGTCTCCGTCAGTGAAGGCCTCCATGTCAGGGGACTGGGGTGAGCTGTCCATGTGGCAGGCAGTGAGTGCATTCTGGTACTGCTGCCGTGTGATCTGGAGGAAAGAAGTAGAGTGGGAGGAAGCTCAAGAGGACGGGGCAGAGCCCTCTCTGGATGTGGTCAGCTTCTCCCAGCTCGGAAGCAGCTTTGCTAGGGTGCGTTGGAACCCCTGGCCTCTGTGGTCTAGGATCCATGAACTGGGTCCTTTCTCAAGCCATACCAGCCTAGCAGTTGAGGAACAATGTGTCCCGCTCTCTTTTTTATTGGCTCTGGGCTCCTCAGTGCACCTGGAAGAACTAAACCTTCTCCTGAGACTCAGAAGAGGATGGAGGGTACCCTCAATTAGCACGGGTGCTGCCCACGGACAAGTTTTAAATGCATACAATTGCCAAGGGCCCCCATCCTGAGGATCACTTGGGGACTATGGGAGGGACGTTCTGCTGCTGTGGATCCTCCCGTCAGGAAGCTGGAGGCTGAGGCCCCAGAGCATGCGGGCATTTCTGATTTGGACTTGGGCCACGGCCGGATGTGGGCTCCTGCTCCTGTGTGGGAAAAGTGCACAGCAGAGGTCTCCCAGTTGCCTCCTCAGATTGCAGGAATCTTACTCGTGATTTTCCTGATGTATCGAGCTTCACCTACAAGTAGAAGCATCTAGACAGTCAGGTTTAGCCAGAGCAGAAGGGAGCTTCCAGAATTCCAGGCAGGAAAAGTATGGATCAAATGTCTTTTCTGGAATATGGAAAGGTTTATTGGTCATTCCTGTTCTCTGGGTGTATGTCTGCCTGATATCCTGGCTTCTGGTTTAAAAAAAAAAAAAATGGGCTGCTTTCTGCACCACCCAATACGGAAACATGATACCATTATTCAGTGAAAGGCCCTGGGTGAAAAGTGAAAATGGCCCATAGTGGTACATACTTCCCATGTACTACAGCCCCTTCAGTGCTTTCCTTCTGTCTTCGCTGCATTTAGCTAGACAACTGGCAAAACTACAAACTGTTCATAGTCCTCCTCTTTCCTTTAGGGGCAGGATTGGGATTACATGTGGGAACAGGAAGGGTGTGCAGCTGGAAACAGGAGAGGGAATGGTTAAGATTTCCACTTGGAACAGAGGTTGCTAGAAGCTGGATTGGTATCTGGCAAGAGCTCTTCCGACATCGGCCGCTCGCCAACTGCTCACTCCTCAGCACCTTCTCCCAGGCCCCCCTTTCCCCAGTGGCTGGAATGCGCCCCATGCCTGGCCTCCCTGGGGGCTGTGGGTGATGGTCGAACCCAAGGCCAAGAGTCAAGCCTAGACCGCTCTTTCCTCACACGCTCTGGGTTGGCTCTTCCTCACCTGGGGCTCATCCTACTTCTGCCTTCTTCACACACCAGCTTTCCTCCTTTCTTTGCTGCATGGGCGGGTGCTCTGGTCATTTTTATTGAATAGGTGAGTTAATTTGTCCTGCTTTATTATCCTCTGATGTTCTTCCTACACTTTCTAGATCCTATGGTCTTCCAATTCCTCCAGAATGTTTTAAAATTATTTAGTGCTCATCCCGAATGTTTGATAACCATCTTCACTGAAATACCTCCACGACCGTTTAGGCAATGAGCGTTTCCTCTTCATAAAGAGAAATGTTCTATTTTCCCTCAAGTTGGGAACGCACTACTCTGTTGGACATTATCCATCTTTTCTTCTCTAACAGACTTCGGGATATCTTGCGTGCAGATCAAGCAAGTTCCAAGCACAACTAATCGAACTGCAAAACACCTATTAAGAATGTGTGTCTTTTGTGGGACGCCTGGGTGGCTCAGTTGGTTAAGCAGCTGCCTTCGGCTCAGGTCATGATCCCAGCGTCCTGGGATCGAGTCCCACATCGGGCTTCTTGCTTGGCGGGGAGCCTGCTTCTCCCTCTGCCTCTGCCTGCCATTCTGTCTGCCTGTGCTCATTCTCTCTCCCTCTCTCTCTGACAAATAAATAAAATCTTTAAAAAAAAAAAAGAAAAAATGTGTGTCTTTTGTTATTCTTATGGGACACACACATGCAGAGATCCTAAGCTTCTAGCCATACTATTGTCCATTAGAGGGGACAGACAGAGTTCTCTTGATGGTTTAAAACCGTGACTCTCTCTTGGGATGGAGTCCCGCATAGTGTTCCCAGCTCCACGGGGAGTCTGCTTCTCTCTCTGACCTTCTCCTCGCTCATGCTCTCTCTGACCTTCTCCTCGCTCATGCTCTCTCTGTCTCTCAAATAAATAAATAAAAATCTTAAAAAAAAAAAAAAAACCGTGACTCTCAAACTTCAGCATCAAGGTCACCTGGAGGGCTTGTTAAAGCAAGATTGTTGGGCCCCACTGCCCACATTTCTAATGCACTCGGTCTGGGGCGGTGCCCAGGGTGGGCATTTCTAACAAGTTCCCAGGTGATGTGATGCAGCTGCTTTAGAGACCACACTCTGAGAACCACTGACTTAAGACCTGGTTAAAATCAGACACAGTCCTTCTCAGGTTTTTGCTTTTCTCCCTTTAAAGGAGTCAAACGGATAAAGTGGCACAGCGTTAACGGGCATTGATATTTTTCAGGTAAAAAGGATATGTTCTGTGTATTAAGGCATGTAACAACCGGGGTCTCCACTTAGCATCTAAAGTCTTCAGTAGATTCAGTGGGATTTCCAACTTTTGCAGCCCCCTCTGTTGGGAAGTGAGAGGAGAAGTCAGGCTCTGAAATTTCCCCAGGAGATGTCAACTCTGAGCCTACCCTCAGTCTTAAACCTTATCTTGAGTCAATCACAGAGACCATCAGGCATGTATTAGGGATTTCACCACCAATGGTCTGTCATGCAGCCCATGCTGATGGTCCAGGGACTTGCAGTGCTGCAGAGAAGGGATCAAAGTGACATGCTAATTATTCATGCCTCCTGAGACAGTGCTTCTCAACTTTGGTAGCGCATTAGAACCACTTGGGAAGCTTTAAAATATCCTGAAACTCAGGCAACACCCTTAAGCAATTACATCCAAATCTCTGAGAGTGGGACGCAGACATCAGGATCACTTCAAGCTCCCCAGGTGATCCCAGTGCGCACCACGGGTGAGAATCACAGCTCTGGACTCTTGGAAATGTCCCCTGTAATCAATTATTATCTTGGCTCCCCTTGATAATTGCCTTCACTGATGTTCAACTTTCCTACTGGACCCCCAGCTTGCACAGAGGCCTGAAATAAGAAACCTCCATATGAAGAACAGAAACTCTGGCAAAACTACAGATGAAGCCAATATGTATTACTTTCTGATGCCTTCCATAGTTCTATAGAAATCTGTCGTATAAACCCTTCAAGAAATTACTTCCAGGAAAAAGCTCCTTTCTATTAAAAAAAAAAACACAAAACAACCCTCCTTTCTATAGATAAATGATGTACTTCCTTATATCACACGAGAATCCAAATATCCCACTAGGTTTGCCCTCTTTGCTTTTATGACCAGGAAGCTCACAGACAAACTTATTATTTACTGAGAGTAACAAATTCACACCTGATAGCTTTTTCATCAAATTGCTTTGCAATTTTTTCTCATTTTCTTATTTAAAGCATCATTGGGTTAATTTTTTTGGGGGAAATCATATACATTGCTGGAAGTTCTATAAATATCCTACAGAATAGGACTGATACTAGGTGTTCAGATGTTGGTGGAAACCCTAGAGCTATGTTACCCGTAAGAGCTTACTTTTGCAGGGAGAGGTCGGGATATGAGGATGGAACCTTCCATCCATAGAGTGTATTATGGCCTACAGAGCACTGGGATTTGTGTTATCTCCTTTGCTGTCATAGTGTGTGAGAGCGCTTGTGATCCTCAGTGTGCAGATCAGAAAATGAGGTCCCGAAATGTCGAGGGATTGTCTAAAGTTGGACAGTTACCAAGCTTTCAGAATCCCAGCCAGTGCACTGTCTCCTAGGCTGTGCACTGTGCCTGGGAAATTGCTGGTCACTCTTTGGAGCCAGGGAGATGGAAGGGGAAGTGAGACGGGGGAATTCCAGAGGGGGCAACCCTGGAGTCTCATAATGGTACCCCTGCAACCTAGATACTGGGATTTAAAGGACTTTGTTCTTGCTCCCCAGGGACAACCATCTCAGCCTGGGCTCTGGACACTGTGTGGCTGTCCCTGGCAGCACGAGGCTGCCCTTCTGGGCAGGTGTTCCAGTAACTGCTTTGTAGGCTTGGGGTCTACAGGCATCTGACGACTGAAAGGAAGCTGGCACATGGCCTGAACCAGTGTTGCCATCAAAACCAATTCTCTGACATGCGCAGAGCCTTCCCCTAGGTGAAACTTTCTTTGGGATCTTGTAGCTTCTACTGGCTTAAAGGACAGAAAATTTTCCTAAATGAACCCTGCTAAGCTCAACAAAGGACTTGATGTTACTCTTTTTCGGTCAACCAGTTAGTTTAGATTTGTCTTCTAGTTTCATCCCAGTTTCGCCACTTTCAAGCTGGGCAACCTTGGCCAAATCATTAACCTCTCTGAGCCCATAACAGAGGCCCAGAGATTATGAGATAACATCAGTGAACCTGTCATCCAGCTGTTAGAAATGACTGTTTTCAACACGTCCACATACATCTCTCACAAGTTAACTTTATAATAGGCATACACTTCAAAGAAAGGGGTCAAACCTACCATCTCATTATGTCTAAATGGTGGATGGCACATCATGAAGTAGGTGGGGGCGAGGGCCATGGTCCCTCTGCCCCTGGAGAAGGAGTGAGGGGAGGGGCTGCCAAAGCAGGACGAGGTCTTAGGAAAGTAAATCCTTAACTAAGAAAATAAAGCAAAAGACAAAGTAGGGGAAGGAAGGAGATTCCAAGTGGGGACAATGAAAAGAGGAAGATAGAGAGAGGAGAGACAGTGAGTGAGGGAAGACAGGAGGGAGGGAGAAGGAAGGGGGTGTGCTCTGGTTTGACTGAGATGGATTTGGGCGTTCAGGGCTCCAATCAGCTGGTGCATTTGCTGTGGTCCCCAAGCCAGAAGCCTCTTGGGAGTGTTGCAAAGTGCTGTATTTAGTTTATTTTTGGAAAGGTTCTGTCCAGGATGCATGTGCAGTGAGCCATACCATTCTCTCTTCATTCTTTAGAAAAAGGGATGTCATCCTCTGGTAAGCTGGACTCGAGGATCCAGGAACTCTAACCCTCTTTAAGCATTGTTCTGGAGTAAGACAAGGAGCTGGGCATAAAGTATTGTTTCTGCATCCCTTTCTTACAAGGTACTGAGTTCCCTGACATGGAGGTATTCACACAGACATTAGATAACCACTAGTTGATGGTGTTAGAGGGAAGACTCAGACGACCCCAGCTAGGACCCAATATCAGTGGGCAGAAGCATGGCTCTGGGGGTGAGGATGGGGGTAGGCGGTTGCCCAGTTCAGGGGCAGGGGCAGAGGTTGGGAGAGGACCCACACTGTCGGTGGGTGGTTGTGTTAAAGGAAAGGCACCATCCATGGGTTACCTTCTCTCTCTGTCTCACAGCTGTGTTTTCACAATGCTTCCTCTTTTTAAACTAAAAAAAAATAAAATAAAATCATAAACTACTGCCCTGTCAACATGTCACCTTCAAAGAAATTGTTGACAAGGCACCACTCTAGAAAATGCGTTCAGGAAACAACCTCTCTCCAGCTGCATTTCTAGATTCAAGCGTTCTCCCGCCCAACCCCTTCAGTTCTTCTTCTTCTTTTTTTTTTTTTTTTAAGTTTTAATTTTGCTTCAAGCATGACTTTTTGTCACTTTGGTTCTCCTGTTCAACCGTCTGAGAATGTCTTCCTCTCTGGCACGGTACCGTCCAGCAGAAATAGAACGGGAGTCATACGGGTAGTTGAAAATTTTCTTGTAGTCACATTAAAAGTAATAAAAACTAATAGGTGAGGGGCGCCTGGGTGGCTCAGTGGGTTAAAGCCTCTGCCTTCAGCTCAGGTCATGATCCCGGGGTCCTGGGATCGAGCCCCGCATTGTGCTCTCTACTCAGCAGGGAGCCTGCTTCCTCCTCTCTCTCTGCCTGCTTGTGATCTCTGTCTGTCAAATAAATAAATAAAATCTTAAAAAAAAAACTAACAGGTGAAATTAATGTTAATAATGTTGCATTTAACCCAACATATTAAAAAAATTCACTTCAACATGGAATCAACATAAAATTATGAATGGGGAACCACACATTATTTTTTGTGTGTAAAGTCCTTGGAATCCAGCAGTATTTGATACCTACGGCTCATCGGTTTGGACAAGCCACGTTTTGTGTGCTCAGCCTGTGGCCGCTGGCTCCCAGGTGGGACAGCAAAGGTCCAGCAGATCAACCTGAACCTCTCTGCCTAGTTTTGAGAACATGGACTTGCGTGGCCAGTGGTGCTCCCATGGCCTGCACACAACCACGGGACCAGCTCAACTGCTTCTTCACTGTCCCTTGAATGCACCTGCCTACTTGCCTTCCACATGCCTGTTTATCAGTGTCCTTCCTCCTATTCCTTCCTCACTCTTAAACACCTGGTACGTTCTCCAGCAACATGGTGCTTGAAACTATGTGCCATATGAATTCATAATCACCTGGGTCACTACAGCTTAACCTACATTTCTTCTCCCTAGCTAGATTTTAATCTCCTCATAAAGCAGAGGATGGGTTTATATTTCCTTAGAGTAGCCCGTAGTTTCTAGAACCATTAGTAATGCTAATAAATACGTACCGACTCGTTCACTGAGGAAATCAAACCACTGCTCAAAAGGCAACGTGTTTTTATTCTCTCTTTATCACTGTAGCTACAAGCATTTCTGAGCAATAGCTTGAGTTCAAATAGTCTTCTCTTACACGTGGCCAGTTAAGAACTCATGCAGCCGTTAAATTACAAAGGAAATGGAGATCTGTTTATCTTGGGAATAACCGGAAGCAGGTGTGCCCTTCTGGACACGTTGACTTTGCAGCCAACGTGTTCAGAAGTTCACCTTCAACCAGGGTGCTGTCTCTCCTATCATTTTATGACGTTCATCCCCCAAAACACCATCCTGCAGTTTAGGGATTCTGCCACCAGATGGTGATGGGGCATCTTGGTCACAGTTACACAGTCAAGACCATAAGACAGCTGCCAAGTAGTCTAATAATGATCTTTACAAAACACAATTTTTAAAAATTCATAAGGATGCTTTGGTGCCTCCATTCATAATTCATTAACTATGATTAATCACAGCTTCAATAGCTCTCCCAGATAATCATGAGATAACACCTTTCTATCTAATTTGGTAACTAATCTGGAAGTCAAATTATTCTTGGACTTGATAATTGTTCTGGAACCTCAGTCTGTTGGACATGAAAAACCCTTGCAAAATCTTCCTGCAGCCCCTCACAGGGGCTTGGTCTGTGAGACCACCCCTCTCGCACAGTTCTTTATGCTGTGGTTACTTGTTTATCCTCTCTGGCCCCCTCCTAGCATGGAAGCTCTAGAAAGTCAAGAGCTTACGGTCTTGTTCACCACAGTCTCCTGTCAATGCTGAGACAAGCACAGGGCAGGCCTACGGTCAGTACTGTTGAGCACTTACACTGTAACTTTCAAGTTCTTTCCCCACAAACCATGTGACAAGGACTACAAACCAATGAGAGCTGACATAGTAAAGCTTCTCCGCTCCCATTTTTTCCTACCTCCATGGCTGAGGAAGGCCTGCAATGAGAGGGCCTCCGGGGAACCACAGGCTTCAGTTTTCTTTACCTTCCTTGTCATACAGGATTTGTTAAGTGTCTCCAGTCATATAGACCCATGGGTATTGCTGGGTTAGTTCCCAAAGTCACTTCTCCTTGGGGCTCCTTCAGCTCTGATTTCCCACGACTCTCCCTAAAGCCTAGGGATTTGAGGGCTTGGACTCTGGAGACAGAGACCCAACTCTGAAGCTTGGCTCTGCCACTCACCAGCCCTGGGGCCTCAGACTCCTCAAGCTCTAATGTCTTCATCTCTAAAATGGGAATGACAGTAGGACCTACCTCACAGGGCGGTGGTAACACTAAGTGGATCAATCAGACAAAGGAGCCATAGACCACATGCACAGCGTACCCCACAAACAGTTATCCCGCCCCACCCTCCAGGCTCAGCCCCTGCCTCTGGTAACTTTCCATCTTTACAGCTTTAGCTCAGGGTGTCTGCAAAGTTCTGGAACACAGAAAACCAGCCAGTTCACACTGCTATCAAATGATCAGAGCTTGTGTTCTGGACAGAAGGAGAGGACCTCCTCCCACCTTTGTGACTGATACATCTCTCGTAATCCAGCCTGCAATTTACCAAGTGAACTCATTGGGTGTTTTGTTGGACTTGGAGAAACGGGGCTCACTCCTGATCTCCCGCCCAAGCATGTAATGGTTTGCAGAATGCTAGCAAACAAAACAAATAAAACAAAACCTATCAAAGCAAGCAAAGGAAGAAACTCTAGAAGGTTTCTGTGCAATCCCAATCCCAATGAGAAGTATGAAGAAAGAGCTCCCCTCCTCTTTAACTACACAGTGATAAGCATCGCTGCTTCTCTCTCCTGCCTGTGCCAAGTGATGCTCCACCAGCCCCCTGACAGCTAAGGGGAGGACAGTTACACAAACGGTTAGTGGTTAACCCACATGCCAAATTGCACTGGAGCAGTAAGATGTAGAAATACGCCATTGTAAGTCAAACCATAGCACAATTTCTTCTAGACACTTGGTTTATTAATCACCCGCAAATTTATCTTGAAAAAACAAAACAACCTGGTGCCAATGGCAGGGAATCCAAAGGAAACAGTTCTGCTGACAACTTGTCTCAGGCAAGCTAACTCCTTTTTGTTCTGTGCCTCAGTTTCCCCACCCATGAAATGGGGATCAGGAGATCATAAACAAATGACAAATAATGAACAGTCATCAAGCTAACTGAAAACAGGGCCCTTATAAAGCCAGGGAACAATGAGCAGCCAGAGTTCTCTGGGAGCAGGGGGCATGGGGAGGCGCATCCCGGCCTGCTGGCTGGCTGGCTGGCTGGCACGGGGACAGTCTCCCGGGGGAGTTACCTTCACAAACTGCACGTCGCTCAGGATGTGCACTGAGTAGTCAGGAGTGTACAGGTTGTTGCTGCTTCCGCACAGCTGGGTGTTGCTGCCCCCAAAGTCACTGCGCTCGCGGTTTGGAGACTCGGAGCGGTTCAAGCCGCTGCAGCGAGAAGGGGACCGGTTTACTGCAGATGGTGGGGGAGAGGCCAGGGGACAAAAGGCAAGGACAGGTGGGCAGGGAGGAAAGAGAGGGGGATGGAAAGAGAGAGACGAGGGGAGAGAGAGAGAGGTGTTTACTGAGGGCCGGAGGGACTTCTGGGCAACGCTAAACCCCGGTGCTAGACCCGGGCCCACACCCTTCGCAGCGGAGGCTCAGGGCTCGGCTCTGCTCAGGCCCCTCCAGCTCCCCATACCCTGAACCTGGGAGGAGCTGGGCAGAGGCGGTCCGCAGCCTCTCTCAGTTTAGGTCTTTGGACTAATGTCAGAGATGAGGACCATGCTGTGGGTGTGGGTATAGCTCCCCCTGAGTGAGAGACCCTCTGCCAGGATCTCAACTCTGCTCACAAGCCTCATTGTTCAGAAAGGCGAATGCCTTAGGTCTGAAGGCACAGACGACTGATGCTTGTGGTGGTGAGCATGTTAGCAGGGATTACTGAGGTCTGCCCTAACACTGGCAGGACCCTGGACAAGTGGAAGCCCACAAACTATATGGGTCCCGATTTGAGTCACATGAAGAAACTGTTAAAATTCGTTCCATCCTTGTCCTTGACAATTATACTGGCATAACTTGGAAGGCAATGTCCAACTCCTTAGAATTTCTGTTAAAGCGGAAAACATGAAACAGGGCTGTATGGGGACAAACAGCCCCTGCCCTAGGGGCTTCCCAGTCCTCTTCCCCCGGGGTGGCTTAGGGGAGGAATTCCGGGGTTCCCCCATCTGAAGTGTGGTCCAGAAGGCAGAACACAGACTCCGGCCCCATGAGTTCCTCACCCCACAGAAAGGGATAGGACTGAGAGGGCCAAAGTGGGGTCCTCTAAAGTGTGGGTCTAAGGCAGGACTCCATCTAGGCCTACATGGGGGCAGGGGATACTGGAATAATCCACAGGCATCCTACATGTTCCGAGTCAGGGTTGGTTGATTTGTTTTCCCATTTTCAAGAACCTTCTAGGGAAACTTCAATTAAGACCATGGCACTTGGTTTCTAAACGGATTATGTGAACTACCTTCCCTGGATCAATAGAAGAGAGGTTCTTCAGGTGACCAGAGCATGATCTCAAGCACAGAATCAACCCGAGGGAGAGTGCCAGCCCATGTTTCCTTCCCCGGAGGGGGAGGGGCGTGCTGTGAGCCTCTCGGAACACAAACTGAGTTCAGGGGCTCCAGTGCGGAGTCGGGCTCCTTAGAAATTCCACTCCTGTGCTTTCAGGGAGAACTGCGGGAATTCAATCCTGTCTCAGGAGATAACGGCGCCATCAGTCAAGATAATTGATTAGCATCTATTTGGAGCGAGTCCTTGAGGGTTGATGGTGTGTTTAGCTGCAAGTTGTTACCGTTGTCTGGCAAACCAGGTAGTGGAAAGGGTAAAATAACAACAGGCAGCATCATTTTTCTCTTTAGAACCATAACAATCGCTGCCTTGATAGGATTATAGAATTAAGAATTCTAATTCCAGTGTCCTCGTCTCAAGAAGTGTCCCTCACATATACTCCATTACTTACACCGGAAACCTGGGGGGTGCCCCCAGACCCTTGCTGCTCCCCCAGCCCTGTACCAGGCCCTCTCACCTCCACTGTGGACATAAGCCGTTGGTCTCTATCTCTGTGCCCCCTCAAGTCCCAATTCCCTGGACCCCTAAACTCCTTGCTTTGTCCCCAAAAGTCCCCCATGACCTGACTCCTGCTTTCCTGTCTGGTCTCATCTTGAGGACTCTCTTCCCCTCCCCTGCTTGCTCTGCTGCCCTCAATCATGCAAGTGTTCCCCCACTACTTCAGAAGATGCCATTTCTCCTGTCCACCTCCCTCTACCTCCCCAGCTAGAATCTCTGTCATCAGGTCTCAGCTGAAGCTGAAAGCTACCCTCTCTGAAGACTTTGGCTGTCCTAAGATTTCCCTGTTTTCTTCTATCACTGTCCCTTGTTCATTCCTTCAATGTACTTTTCACAAGTTTTAATTCATTATGTGTTTGTACTTGTGACATCTACTCAATTCAATGCTAAATTCCACGAGGACAGAGGTCTTGCGTTTTCTGGTCATTGTGGTCCACTCAGTATCTAGCACTATGCCTGGCCTCAAGTAGGTGCTCAATAAAAATGTAGAGAATGAATGAATCAAAACCTAAGCATCCCTTAAAGAGTTTTCACGTAAAACTAAATTTTGTTTAAAAAAAGATTTCAGAGCTCTCAAAGCATCCTGGATGGGAAGGCCTTGCCTTTGCAACTTACGATCATCCTGGGGAAGCTGACTTCTGCAAGAAATTAAAGGCAGAGAGAAGGACACTCCAACATTGTGGCTGGACAGAGTCAGAGAGTGTGCAGTGAGAATCAAGGGCACCAAGAGGCCTCGGGCTTTGGTCCAGTAACTTGAGGAGAGGCCACAGGGAAAACCAGGACTTTGTTTACCTAAAGCACGTGAAACTGGGGATCCTGGCCTCAGGTCTCTAGGGCCCTACTTCTCCACTGGGAGATGGAGGGCCAGACCCTCTTCCGCGGTGACCAAGGACTGAAGCCAGTGACAGTGCCATGGAGAACAGAGTGAAGCACCCAGGGAACTGTAAATGGCAGCAGTACTGGGCAGAAGAACGTGCGTTTCACTTCTGGTTCTGGTCCCTTGAAAACAAGCTGGTGCGTTCTTGGCTTGGCTTGACCCTTTGTGGTCTTCTGGGCTGGTGGCTGCCAAGTAAATCAATGGCACTTACTCAGGGTGACTGCTGTGGAAAAGGGGGAAGGCAGTTCTGCTGGAGGGTGACTTCTTTGTCATGTGAGTGGAATCTGGAACACCATACCCTGACCTGGTGGGTCTTGTCCTCAGCGCAGTTTGGAACCATTGAAGGGAGTATAAGTAGGGAAATAATCACCTCTCCCCGACAACCCTCCAGGGTTTTGCCTGGTGGGACATGTACTACATATACCCCATGTGTCCTGTTCCACCTTGTCATCCCTTATATCACAATCCCAGGCATATGCCAGGAGGATGGCAGGAAGACAAGGCTCTCTTATCTACTAGACCACTTCCAGCCATAGAAGGCTCTGCCTGAATCACTTCCACACTCTGTTGGAAACAGAGGCCACAAATGCCTCCCCGTCCCACCCAGAGCTCTGGTCCTCACCGGCATGCCACTCTGCTGTCACTCCCAGGACCACACGTCAAATGCAAGTGACATCATTATCGTGCTAGGAGGAAAAGTATTGTTGTGTTCTGTTTTTTCAAGTAAGCAAAGCTATTGAAGGTTTATTCAGAATCCCAAAGGATTCCCAACACGAAAAGATATAACTGTCTTATAAAGGTCGGGCCTATAAAAGCAATTTTTCAAAGGAAAAAAAAAAAAAGCCTCACTTCACAACAAAGGAAGTCCCAGCTCATGTGAGTGTTGTGCAACATCAATATTTTCATGTCCCAGAGCCTAACATTCCTCAATAGGTAGGATGCTGATGACTCGGCATTTTGGTAATTGTGCACATACACTCAGAGGTTTTTGAGCAAAGGAAATGGAAATGCTTCTAATAAAAAAAAGAGAAGAAATCAGTAACAGACGAGTGTCCCAGCAGCATGGCAAACGAGTTCAAGTTGTATAATTCCCCTTGGCATTTCCTAAGAGCAGAGGCCCAGGCTGGGGGGAGTGAAGTGAAGAGGAAAATGTGAAACTACAGTCAAAGAGGTCTAAGAGGGGACAGATCAAACAGTGATCAAACTGACCACAGAATTCCTCACCAGGAGGTAGGCCACGCCACGGACATATCCCTTTGTCCGCTCTTCCTTACGTCGCACCCTCACGCTAGCCCTGGAGACTGGGTGGTGGGAAGCAGGGTTTTCTTCTCTAGACTCCGAGGTGCTGTGGAGAAGCGTGATAGACCCCATTCCTGCAGCCTCTGCATAGTCAGGCTGCAAGGGATATCTGTCCTAGACGGCAAGTTGGAGACACTGAGGTTGGGCGGAAAAGACCCTGGGGTACAATTGGTTGTGGGGCGGGAGAGGGGGTGGAAGAGGATTTGACACTCTAACTGGGGCTGAATGGAATCTCCTGTGCACTGATAGGCGCGGGGCTCCCTGAACCTACACACAGCTCCGTGATGCTTGCCTTACTCATGACACCTGTACCTAGAATAGAACCCAAGATACAGAATGCCCCACTTCCCGTTTCAGTCTAGGGATTTGAGGGGAAAGTAGGGTACAGTGGCTGCCTGCTTCTATCTTTCAGAGCATCAGTGAGGGACAAGAGGAAACAGCCCTCTCTCGTCATAGTCACTGTGTCATGGGCCACCTGTGTTCTCCAAACTGGATGGGAGAGCTTAATTATATAGGCCTATAAGAGTACAAACTAGGATTATTAAAATTCATCATTCTGGGGTAATATTCAACATCAGACAACCAAATGCCAAAAGCTCTCTGTCAAAGCTACAATGTGAACTCTGCAAATAAGCCCAAGTTAGGAGCCCAGATGAATTCGCTCACATTACATGGAGCTTTAATGGTTCCCAAATGTTTACGACACACAAGCCAACCCAAAGGAGTATTGCCACTTACCACATTTCACAAAGTAAAAGGATTTTTTTAGAGACTCCCTCTATATTCTGGGAGGAAACGGTCCCCATTGATCTCAAAGCACATTACAGATGCCATTTGAACATTGAAAAAGAATCACTGCTCCTGACCTCTTTCCTGCCTCTGTGCTTTTGTGGATTTGGAAGGATTGTCATGGGGAACTTGAAATCATCTCCACTGGGAAAAGAAAAAAGGAATGAATCTGGGGAGAGGGGATGATAACTGTAGTGGAGCTGTGAACTCTCAGTGGGTTGATCAGAAGTCTACTTTTTAAATGACAGCACCTGCAAAGCTGGCTAATTACATCATACCCTGGAAGCAATGCAATGCACAAAACCACTCCTCTCTCCTTATTTCAAACTAAAGCTCAAATAGAAGGAAACTGCCTATGTATGGATAACGGTGGCAATCTGGTTCAGGGACCGCTGGCCTCAATCCACAGAGAGCACCATAATTCATTATCATGACTGCTTTCAAATTGCTAGTAAGTCACAGACCTCTAGGGGGCACAAAATGCCCATGTTCAGAGGGGTAGCCAAGTCCAGGACAATAGAAGCAGGACCTAAGAAACTCAGATTCCATACATCACCCATCAAGACAAGGGCACTCCTTAATCCACATTACCTATTTTACCCATCTTCCCATCCCTTCCCCTCTGGGAACCATCAGTTTGAGTCTGTTTCTTGGTTTGTCTCTCTTTCTTTTTCCTTTGCTCATTTGTTCTGTTTCTAAAATGCCACGGGTCACTATATTGTACACCTGAAACTAAAAGAACATTGTATGTTAACTATACTGGAATTTAAAACAACAAAAGAATTTTGCAATGTATACAATTTATGTATCAAATTATCACATACATCTTAAATTTACAGTGTTATATGTCAATTATGTCTCAAAAAAACTGGAAACTTTGTTTTGTTTTGAGTATAGTTGACACAGAGTGTTACACTGGTTTCAGCTGTACCACTTAGTGATTTGACAAGCTACCCTCTATCCCATTACATCACTATCAGTATCACTGACTATTCCTTTTGCGTTGCTTTTTATTCCTATGACTTATTCATCTCAAGTGAAAACTTTTTGTTAAAAATAAAAAAGAATTGGAGAAATTAGAAAAAAAATGTAACAGTAAAAAAGAGAGATTTGGATTTCAATCTTCATCCTTCGCCTTCTCACTACACAGGTGATACTGCTGGATGGCTCAATGTTTTCAGAGGCTGTTTCCCTACTTATTGTTTTGCAATGTTAATTCCTTCCCATCTCCTGAGGTTCTTGTGGGGATCAAATAAAATGACTGGGTTCTTTTTAAACGTAAAGGCCCTATTAGTTTCCAGGATTTCTCTCTCCTCTGTGTAAGATGGGGGCAAGATGTAATATATGCAAATAACTGTATTTGGATCATAAATCAAGTAGGGGGCCAGACAAAAGGAGACAGAGTGAAAGGAGGTGGGGAGGAGAGAGACAAAGGAGAAGAAAGGCATCCCCGCCCTTTTTTTTTTTTTTTATCCAAATTGGCAATGAAGAAGTCAAACTCTCACTCTTCGCAGATGACATGATTCTTTATATGGAAAACCCAAAAGACTCCACCCCCAAACTACTAGAACTCATACAGCATTTCAGTAACATGGCAGGATACAAAGTCAATGGACAGAAATCAGTGGCTTTCTTGTCTGAATTTCTGTCTGTATTTCTGAAAATGCAGAAAGGGAAATTAGAGAATTGATTCCATTTACTATAGCACCAAGAACCATAAGATACCTGGGAATAAACCTAACCAAAGAGGTAAAGGATCTGTACTCGAGGAACTACAGAACACTCATGAAAGAAACTGAAGAAGACACAAAAAGATGGAAGACCATTCCATGCTCTTGGATCGGAATAATAAACATTGTTAAAATGTCTATACTGCCTAGAGCAATCTATACTTTCAATGCCATTCCGATCAAAATTCCACCGGTATTTTTCAAAGAGCTGGAGCAAATAATCCTAAAATTTGTATGGAATCAGAAGAGACCCCGAATCGCTAAGGAAATGTTGAAAAACAAAAATAAAACTGGGGGCATCACGTTACCTGATTTCAAGCTTTACGACAAAGCTGTGATCACCAAGACAGCATGGTACTGGCATAAAAACAGACACGTAGACCAGTGGAACAGAGTAGAGAGCCCAGATATGGACCCTCAACTCCATGGTCAAATAATCTTCGACAAAACAGGGAAAAAATATACGGTGGAAAAAAGATAGTCTCTTCAATAAATGGTGCTGGGAAAACTGGACAGCTATATGTAGAAGAATGAAACTCGACCATTCTCTTACACCGTACACAAAGACAAACTCGAAATTGAGTTTATCTTGTGAGTGAGGCAGGAATCCATCAGAATCCTAGAGGAGAACATAGGCAGTAACCTCTTCGATATCAGCCACAGCAACTTCTTTCAAGATATGTCTCCAAAGGCAAAGGAAACAAAAGCAAAAATGAACTTTTGGGACTTCATCAAGATCAAAAGGTTCCGCCCTTTCTTTTTTCCTGCTTTGTTCGTCACTGCTCCACTCTGCAAAGATAAACCAAGGGTGGGAAGAAGTTGGCCTTGCTCTCTCAGCTTTGTGGCTCACCTATTTCTTATTGGGTTGAAGACCCAGGCATGGAAAATGAGGGGAAGGTGGAAAGAGTTCTCAGGAGCAGCTGCCACCCACCAGGGTTGGATCAGAAGTTACAGCACCTCCTGGTGGGGGTGGGGCTGGGGGTGTCACACTGCAGGAACAAGTCACCTTCATCTTGGTCTGATGCTGGGTTACCATCAAGTTTTTCATAATAAATATCAATGGACTAGAATTAACCTTCCCTTAACTGGAGTTATAAAATTACAGAGAACTGGCTTGTCTGGTTAACTGAGGGTAATTTAAAAGGTAATGACACCCCTGCTTTGATCCTTCTGATTGAGTATCTTTTAAAAATGTAAGCCTTGCCTTTCAGCTGAAGCTTCATAACTACTCTTCCTTCATGAAGATTCCCTGCATGTGAAGGATCTTGAAGGTCCATGATGTGGTCACTTCTCATTTTGCTGAGAGGCAGGAGCAGACCAGTTAGCTGGTAGAAAGCACCAGCTTGGCACCCCACATGGACCGTGCTGGTCAGTAGTCATCATGAGGGCATGAGCTCTCACAAAGCAAGAAAGATTTTATTTCTTGGTGGAAAATCATTAAATGAGAGAGAAAACCTTGATGATATTTGAGAAGGTGATTAACTTGTTTTGTACAGATAAACATGGGAACCAGATGGTTTTTGATGGGAAAAATGTGATTTGGAAGAAACAGGAGTCAACATAAATTCTTCTGAAGCTGCAAACTTGGGGGTTTGAGGTCTCAGGACACAGCCTCTTTGAAAGTTGAGGGTCTACTGTACAGATAGCAAAACATAACTGAATTCTTGCTGGCTGAGGTTATGATGGGGCCTCAGAATCCTATTGTGGTACTGGGATAGGGAGACAGATGTGGGGTGGGGGTACAGGGAATTGGACGTGTTTTTACATTCTAACTTCAGGGAGGTTTAAGACAGAAATTCTTGGTTTGCTCATTTCTTGTTTCATGAGCCTGAGAGATCATCCTCTAGACATGAAAACAATACAAACACTTCATCAATTATTTAGACTGATTACATTCTCCTCAACCCTTGGGTTACTTTGTAGTTCTATGAGGAGCTGCCTGACCCAGTTAAAAAGAAACCCAGCAACTTTTATACAATTAACAACAGAGGTTAAACCTAATGAAAAGTTGTTTTGAAATTCTTACACATATTCTTTGTATGAGTAAGGCCAGAGAGAATATAGTCACCAGAGAGCAACATTACAGGGGAAGATGAGGCTGGGTTAGTTAGTGGTCAGCTAAAGGCAGAGGCCACAGAGAATGAATGGTGGAGGGAAAATAGGTAGCAGTAAGGGATGGTACTCTGTTGTTTCTTTCTAGTCCTCTCCTGCTGCACTTCTCATCCCTCCATTCTGCAGCGAGACAAATGATGAGGAAGAATTCACACCAGCCCTCACTCTATCATCTCTCCCCGTACCTACACAGACACTTCCTGGGAGCTAAGTTCACAAGTGACACCACTGACTCAGCAACGCCTGGGCCGTGTGTGCCAGGGAGTGTTATCTGTGCGATGGGCTATGCCTTAGTCCTGGCAGTGCCTGTGGGAGACACTAGTTCCGTCGCAGGACAGCGACAGAGACCAATGGCCTCTTGCACACCCCACTGACTCTACGGAGACCGACACACCCACGCATGTTTACCTGGGGAGCCCGCCAGAGAGTCCCCTCTGCTGAAGGCGAAGGTACGGGACACAGAGACGGGCACTAAAGAGTCAAGGGCCAAGGATTTGTGAGTCACGAAAGGGAAGATAAACAGAAAAGGAGAAAGACAAAAGAGCAAAGTGTGTGAGTCAGTCTGTTCTTGAGTCTTCACAACAGCACATTTCTCTGCAAAAGGGAATCTTGCCTCTGAGAATAGGGAAATTGCAAATCCTCTCACAAAGTCACCCTCCAGAAACCCAAACGTAAAACAGACTTGGCTGGAAGTCTTTCCGGAAAGATGTGCAGTAATCTTAGAGGGGATTCGACCTTCCGATGACAAGAGCGGGCAGGGGCCCTTGCGGGGTGGGGACATGTGTCTACAGCATTCTCCGTGAGCCCACAAATAGGCTGGGGGTCCCGCACCGCCTCGCCCCCGGCTCGCCCCTACGGCCCCCTGCCTCTGCGCGCCTGCGCCGCGGCTCCAAGCAGAGCGCATGCTCCGGCCAGCGGCGGCCGGAAGAAGCGTGCCTCAGCCTCCCAGCCCCTCCTCCGTGCTCACAGTGCCGGGCGGTAAATGTGCATTGCGGGATCAAGCGGTGTTTCTGTCTGGCAATCTGTCTTCCTCCCTCTTATCCAGTTGTTCAGAGTGCCCCTTCCTTGGGGACTAAATGAAGTCAGTCTGTGGAGGACAGCGCACCAAAACCGGCAACTTCTGTGGTCTTACCTGCCGTGCCAGGTGATTGTACTGAGTTTACACGCGCAGGGGAGTGGGGGAGATTTATACCTACCTGACTGATAATCATTGGGTCTGACACCAGATATCAAAGAATATTGGAATGGGCTCCTAACGTGAGACCTACCGGGATAAGAAACCCCACAGTCTCAAGAAGCATCCTTGAGTTTCTTGGGGTGCAAATGAAATGTATACCCCACCAAACAGGGAGCAGACAGCCTCTCTCTGCTTGCATTGCCCCGTGGGCTTGAAGAAACTCAGGTCTGGTTTCCTCAGAGTTCCCAGGCTCACTGTGATCCTCCTAGAGTCCCTGGCAATCAGATCCAAGAGAGAGGAGACAGTGCTGGCTGTGTTCCCTTTACCCTGCACAGGAAAACCAGGGTGACTTACTCATAACCTCAAATTCGACTTTGAGGCTAGGTCCCAGGGCCAGTATTCTGACGAACCTCTCATCCCATTTATCTCTCTCAAAGACTAATAAAGCTATAGGCTGGCTTCCAGGACAAGGGTAGTTGGCCAGACCCAGACCCTATAAGAATTCACTCCCTTATGCTCTCCTTTGACTGCAGGCTGAGGTTCACTGCTATTGAGTGATGCTGGGCAGCTAGACCCTGGGGTGGGGGTGCACCCAGGCATAACTGTGGGGTGTGGCAGCCTTAGCCCATATTTCACACTGTACTTTGCTAAGTGGGGAGCGCTTGTGGGGGATGATGGAAAATGTCTCCACACCCCTACTGGTTAATTCGATTTCTTTCTCCTTCTGAAGATTATAAAGATGCTCAGAAGTGAGGGGAGGGAAAAGTTTAATGCCCCTTTTTAGTTAACCAGTTTTGAAGGAGAGATCAGTGTTACAAGTTTATGCCTGTCTCACTGATAAAATGGAAGGAGATATGGATAGAAAGAACTAGAGACAGGAAAGAAGGAAGGAAGGGAGGAAACCAGGTAACAGCTTCCCAAGATTTTTAAAATAATTTTCTTTTCAAAGAAAAAAGATCATCCATATTACGTGGGCTGGGGAGTCTCATGTAGCTCTTTGTCCCCCTGGCTTTTGGTCTTCTGAAAGAGCCAGAACAGGGCCAAATGTCTGGGTAACATTTAGAATCCTAGGAATTACCTCACCTTAAGCAATCCCTAATGTGATGGATGGAAATCTCCTTTAGAGAACCAAGATTTCCCTGGTCCTGTAGCTCATTCCTCTCCCATTCAGAGTTCTTGTTCTAAGAGGATGATGCTTCCTTCCTCAACCTTGCTTGAGATCTGTTGGCTTATATAAGTGTCATATGTACCAGGGCTTTACTTTTATCGAGCTTCAGTTCATGTTGGGCCATGCCTTGGGTAGGGACAGGTACTTCAACTTCATTTCAGCCTTCTGCTCGGCTAAGGTATAAATTACACTGTAAACCATTCCACTGTTTATACATGGAAATTACATTCTGGAACGTGATGGGTCTCAAATCTATTTCTTTGTGCTGTGTGAACTAGCCAGGACATGGGATTGCATCTGGGTAGTCATCCACTTGCTGGGTAATTTGGAGTAAGTCAATTCTTTAATTTCTCTGTGTTAAGATAGTATCTACCTTTCCTGTGCCAGGGATTGTGAGATCAAGGTTTAGGATCCTCTGGTAAATCCCAATAGAAAGCCCTCCATAAAAATCTTTTTTTATGATGAGAGAAAACACCCCATTTGGCTTGAAAATAGCCACGATGTAAACATGAATAGCTGAAAGCAACGCAAAATTCAGACCCGTGAACCAAAAAGAAATCTAGAGAAATAATTCGTTCTGGATCACGCTTACATCCCAATAAACACCATCCCTTCTAAGCGCAAGTACAATATCCCCACACAGGAAACAGCAAGAAGGTAAAGCACAGAAGGGGCAGAACAAACCAGCCAAGAGCCCTGTGGCAGCCGCCAGCACCAGCATGCACAGCCAACTGGAAGCCAGCTCTCCACCAGCTGAGACGTGTAATGAGGAAAGAGAAGCAGGTAAGCAACATACTGTGGCAGCCTGGGACTCACATCCTAAGACCTTGTGGGCATTTCCTATGGTACGGTAATGTAATACAGTAATGACAGACCTATGTCAGGTAGAGTAAAGGCCAGTGGGTGAATTATATCCTAGTGGAGAAGGAAAGGCTGAACCTGCACCAGAGCACCCAATCACCAGCCTTCATTCCCCAGCAGGTGACAGTAAATGGGGTCCCCTCCCCTCACAACTTTCCTCCCTGTCATTCGTCACTTGCACATGAGCAGAGAAGCAGCAGGAAACATTCCAAACACAGAAACGAGGCGCCTGTGCCGTAGGTACCTGGCAGGAGGCAGTGTTCCTGGCAGAGCATTACAAAGAGGCTGCCAACATTTGGGTTAGCCCCAGCCCAGCCTCAAAGTGCTTGGTCCAGGTCCCCAGAGTGGGCTGAGACAAGACTACGATGGGGACAGGTGGGAGAGTGGTTTGAGAGATACATACGAAAGACTGAGGATCCAGCCAGGCTTCCAACCTTCCGCACATCGTTATCTAAGGACAGAAGAATGTAGTTGAGAACACACACCTCCTTAAGGGAATGCCCCCTCCTCCACCACACCCGCAGCACCAATGAACTCTGCAAAAACCAGGCCATCAAATGGAAGTGTAAAAAGCAAAATAAACTTGTCTTTTCATACAGAAAAATACCACTATCCATCCCTGACACTTGATAACACTGCAGTTTACCACGGACTTCCATGAAGAGACTCTCCGATTAAGAAAGGACTTTCACACCCATTTTATGGAGGAGGAAACTAAAGTCTAGGGAGTTAAATGGCTTGTATAGAGAGTCCCTAAGAGGAGTCAGGACTTGAACCCAGATGTTCTCTTCCACCATATCCCACTGCTTCCCCAAGAAGCTCTGGCTTGGTGACTGGAATACCTGAGCAAGCAGTGGTCATGATGGCTGGGACTCCATAGTAGGTGAAAGCTCCATTCTCGAAGCGAAGGCCTTCCTTGCCAACCTCCACTTCCACTTTACCCTGGGGAAAGAAGGAAGTGTACAAGGGCGTGTGTGAGCACTTCCAGTGCTATTATTGACTACAACCCCAAGCACTTCTGTATGGTAACAAACAGGTGGACTTAAGTTCTTATCACAGGGAAATGTGAAGTCTGTTTAGATCCATTTCAAAGATAGAACCTTTGACTTCAGCAGTATGTTAGTTGCTTCGTTCAGAGAGGAGTGTCCCGTCCTGGCTAACCAACTCTCTTTGCATGCTCTGATGGCCCTTCCATGATGAATGTCCTGGCCCCAGCTAGCTCCTGGCCCCATAAACTGCCCCACCGGTTGAGAGAAAATCTGATTCTGTGCAGAGCTTGTGTATTTCATTGCCAGGAATAATGATCGTTAATGGCTAGCATGTAGTGTGTATCTGCGGGCCTGGTACTGTGTTCTATGCACTGCATAGATTCTCACTCACTCAGTCCTACCACCCTATGGAGCCCATACTGCTTTCATCCCCAGCTTCCAGGTGAATCAATTTGAGGCTCAGAGGGTCACATACCTTGGTAAAGGTTAGTTAGAACGTGGCAACACTGGCATTTTAAAGCCAGATCTTTCCCATTGCTGAACCTACACTCTTGCCACTACCTTTCAGTCCCTCTGACTTTTATTTGAAAATGGTTACGTTTACATGAAGCATAAGGTAGTAGGTTATATGAGTTCATGACATTATATAAACAATGGAATAGGACTCTTGTTGATTTTCAGCAGTGAAGACTGTGACTCCATTTTGGAGAAAGGAGAAAGGAGGCTCTGTGTTAGGATGGGTGTGAGACCCATTACAGGGTCAGAGCAGACAGGCTGTAGGTGGACAGTAAGCACAAAGAGGCTACTTCTAAGGTCACTGAGCTTAATTAAGATTTTAAGGCAATCACTGTATTTAGGGTTTGTAAGATTCTGTTGAGAAGAGATGGGCAATAGTAACAGAGCTAATGGTAGAGCCGGGCCAGGGAGCCAGCAGCATCACAAGCTAGAACCACATGTCACATGTATTTATGACAGTCCTATCCAGGCACCCAGGGTGGAAGGCGCTGGGACTTATTTGAGCACCGGGAAGATGCTACACCTCTTTCATTCAGTCATCTGTTCCCTCCCTGGTCCTCTTAAGGAGGAGAAGATTTGAGAGGCTGCAAAGGCTGAAATGTGGCAGTGAGAGTGGATGTGTTCCATGCACCCCCAGAGCAAGGAGCAGGTGGGAGTCAGATATGGTGAGACGCCAGAATGACAGACATGAGACAGGCCTGCAGGTTGGGAGGCATGGACTGTCACATTCCTGGGCAAGTCTGAGCAGACAAGGGGGCTTTGGGATTCTGCAGGATGACAGTTTTGGAAGTGTAGTCTCAGAACCCCTCTGTTGGAGAAGTCCCCACCCAACCCCACCATAAACACTGCTAACCAGTCAGACTAACTGCCCTCAAGATCCTGCCACTCTCGGGACAGTGGCCAGTCACATCTGGCCCTTCTGTGGGTCATTGACAAACACCCACCCCACCTGGCCCTGCCCTGAGGTAGCACGCTGAGGCTTCCAACCTGGCTGAGGAGGCCCAGCCCTTCCTCTCTATCCAGCCTGGAGATGCCCTCGTCCTGCCCTTGGAGGGTCTCTAACTCTCCCACTCACCTGCAGAAGCAGCACGAAGTAGTCTACGGGGCGGTTGCGCTGGTAGAGGTAGTGTTCTGGGGCTTTCTTGTTTTTCTCGTCAAACTTCAGCTCCTGGATCACATTGGGGTGTTTGAGGAGCCGGAGCAGGATCTTCTCCGAAAGGTACAGAGATTTAAAGGGCTCCACTTCTAGGGGAGATAGGGAGGCAGGACGGATTAGCAGCCGGGGGAGTCAGGATGGGCAAACCAGGCACGTGTCTACAGCCACCTCCATTCATGCTCTGGGGCACCGAGCTGGCAGGGCTCTAGTGAGTCTCAGGTGGAGTGGGGGGTGTGGAATTGTGCACCTCAGCTTCTCCCCATGCCCTCTGGGGATATGTGTCCCTGTGGTGGCACCCTGGAGAAAACAGGTCACCATTTTGGAAATGTTACTTTTGCTATTAATTTTCTTCTTGATGTTATTTAAAGTTGAGTGTGGCCTAAAAAAGAAGGCAGTTTTGCCACTTGAAACAACATGGATGAACCTGGAGAACATTATGCTAAATGAAATAAGCCAGACACATAAGGACAAATATGTATGATACCACCTATATGATGAATCTGAAATAGTCACATTGTGGGCGCCTCAGTGGCTCAGACGGTGGGTATCCGACTCTTGATTTTGGCTCAGGTCATGATTTCAGGGTTGTGAGACTGAACTCCTCATTGGGCTCTACGATGGGCCTGGAGCCTCCTTAAGATTCTCTTTCCCTCTCCTTCCGCCCCTTCCCCGCCCTTGTGCACACTCTCTATCTCAAAAAAAAATTTTTTTTAAAAGATTTATCTATTTATTTATTTATTTGACACAGAGAGAAAAAGCACAAGCAGGGGAGTACCAGGCAGAGGGATGAGGGAGAAGCAGGATCCCCGCTGAGCAGGGAACCCAATGCGGGACTCAATCCCAGGACCCCGGGATCATGACCTGAGACGTTCAACCAACTGAGCCACCCAGGCGTCCCTCTCTCAAAAAAATTTTTTAAAGTAATGAAACAAATCAGTCAAACTCAGAGAAGCTGAGAGTAGCACCCCAGTTAGCCAGGGCTAGTGGGAGGGGGACATGGGTGAGGTACTGGTCAAAGGGGGCAAAGTTTCAGTTATGCAGGAGGAGTAAGTCCCGGAGATCTCCTGCATAGCTTAGTGCCTGTAATTAGCAACAGTATATTGTATATGCAAAAATTTAATCTAAGATGGTAGATCTTATGTTAACATAGGAAAAATAGTAATAAAGAAAGAGGGTGGGAGGAAACTCTTAGAGGTGATGGATATGCTTATGGCAGCTTAGCTCCAAACTCCTCAAGTCATATATGTTAAATACATACCACTTTTCATATGTCAATCTTACCTCAATGAAATGGCTCAAGAAGAAAAAAAACAATGGTAAGAGGAGCATGGATAAGCAAGCCATGTGAACAACAAAGGCTTTATTGCTATCATCAAATGAAACACAGAGAATTTAATCTTATTGGTATGACATGTATCTGTTGAATGAAATGAAATTCCAAGTTAATACAGAGTTAATTACTTAAGTGATACGTTCCCCAAAATGTGAAGCCTTGTGGTATCACATTTTCATATTAACAATTATTATGTTATATTATTATGTTATGTCATGTTATGAACAGACACAGCTGTTTTGCTGTGACAGGCAGCCAGTAGTTAAATCTGTAATTAGGACTAGAAAACATGTTGAAAACTACTTTCAAGAAACTCCAATTTAGGGGCACCTAGGTGGCTCAGTGGGTTAAGCCTCGGCCTTCTTAGAAAAAAAAGAAACTCCAATTTAAAATTTTCTACTTCTTAGCACCTTGAACAGTCCTAACTGTGTCCTAACACTCCTAACACACTCAATAAATAGATGTTGGACTAACTGACAATTGAACTTAGTCATGGGTATTACTGTTCCAAGTCAGCACCTTAATTGGGCCTGGGTGAGAAGACTAGAAAGTTCAAAGACAAATAGTACCTTCTTTATAAGGGAAAGTTTGTATTTGGATCTTCATTTTTTTTTTCCTAAAGATTCCAAGATTTACAAGTGACTTCTGTATTTTAAGAACTTGTGTAGCTGGGGTGCCTGGGTGGCTCAGTGGGTAAGCCTCTGCCTTTGGCTCAGGTCATGATCTCAGGGTCCTGGCATTGAGCCCTGCATCAGGCTCTCGGCTCTGCAAGGAGCCTGCTTCCCCCTCTCTCTCTGCCTGCCTCTCTGCCTACTTGTGATCTCTCTCTCTGTCAAATAAATAACTAAAATATCTTAAATAAGAAAAGAAAAGAAAAGTCACTTTTTGGGGCACCTGGGTGGCTCAGGGGGTAAAAGCCTCTGCCTTCGGCTCAGGTCATGATCCCAGGGTCCTGGGATCGAGCCCCACATTGGCCTTTGCTCACTGGGGAGCCTGCTTCCCCCTCTCTCTGCCTGCCTCTCTGCCTACTTGTGATCTCTCTCTCTCTGTCAAATAAATAAATAAAATCTTAAAAATCAAAAAAACAAAAAACTTGTGTAGCTCACAAGCCTATGTGGTCCAGGGAGGGTACCAACCCCAGGCCTCCTTGCTGGGTAGGACAAGGCCTTTCCTTCCTCAGCAAATCCTCGGGAGGCACCCCAGCTCCAACAAGATGGAGCTCGGCCTTAGGCTCCTGCCAGAAAGCAAGGGGAGGAAGGGAAGAGAGCAGCAGTGGTTTCTTTAGCTCTTTCCTTGAGTAGAAGAGAGGAAAGCAGAGCTGAGTTGTACTCACTTCAGTCCTAGAAGATCAGGCCTGGGGCTGAACAGGACAGTATGTGGACTCCTGTGGCCTAACCTACCGCATCCCCTCTCCCTGGAACAGAGGTTCTCCATCTCTGCTGTGCACTGGAATTAGGTTGCGAGGTACTAACGTGATTGGTGTGTGGGTTTCACCTTCCAGATTCTGCTTTCCTTGTCTGGGGAGGAGACGCAGGCAGGGGGTGGGGGCAGAGTCATACCTGTGGCCATGAAGCGGTGTGTGGCCAGCAGAAGCTGGGGAGAGATCTTCACCCTCATCTCCGAGTCAGAAAGCTTGAATAGGGAAAAGTCGTGCCGCTTCCTCTCCCTGTGTGGAACCCTCTGCTTTTTCCGGTTGTCAGCTGCAGGGTCACAAAGTGGAGATATCAGAATCAGTCTTCCCACAGTCATATGGGAGATAGATCCTTTGGGATCCCATGAATTTCTGCAACATGTCAACTGTAGGTGACCTCACAACTTCTCTTTCCTGGGGAGCAGAAGGATGCTACTAAAGGGTAGAAGGTGGGAGATGTTGCCAGGTCTCAGGGCTATTTACACTGAGGTGGTGTGGAGTGGAAAAGGGGAAAGGCTGGCCTGGCGCCCCTGAGGGCAGGTTTCTGGTGGTGGCTCCCCTCCTTACCAGCTGTGAAACCTCTCTGGGCACCAGAGTGTGTGCTCATTTTCATCTACACAATGAGGTTCATAAGTAGCAATAATGCTTCTGCTCATCCCCTGTAGTTATTCTGAGACTCTGAGCAGAACCACCTGTAAAGTGCCTACTAAATGGCATTTGTGCCTGAGGGACTAACTTTCTCAGCATCAGGGGAGCCAGGAGGTTTCCGTCTCTTGTCCTTCTCCTGTCCCCAGAGCTGGGTTCACCAGGTCTCTTCCTGCTGATTTAAACCACGCCGTGGGCAGTATCTGAGGCATGTCACCCAAGGAACCTGGGTGGTCACCTCCTCTTCCACTCACAATTCTCCCAGGCAGAGGATTGGGGAAAAAAATCTAGGGAAGAAGAAAGGAGAAGGAATGGGCACAGCCCTGTAACTTACAAAGTCGGGTTCTCTAGGCGGGGGCCCTCAGGCAGAACCTAGGGGAACTTTAGATGGCCTGAGATACTGATGAAGAAAGTCTGCCCTTTCCAATTTAACTTTTTCTCCCTTCTTTTTTTAAAGCTTGTTCTAAAAAAATATTTTCTTACGGGTAGGGGGAATGTTTTCCTTGGTCGGGTGTCTTTTGCTTTCCCTTAGTTTTGAATAAGATTTTGAAACGTCTTGCCTACTTCACAGTGCTAAGGGGAGCAGAGAAAGGGATTTGGGTTTTCTCCAGACTTGGCCTGGAGACAAACAGGGCTGGGGGGAATTTCAGTGCAGACTGAGTGGACACAGTGGACACCGAGGGGAATGAATCCTAGGAACAAGGAACCGGGCCCCTAGAATCTGGCTCCCTGGTATTCTCCTCGTTTTGGAGCTCACTTCAGCTCCACTGTTTGGGTTTCCCTCTAGAAGACAGAAGGTGCCCTTCTATGGTACTGAGGTCTTGTGGGTCTATCTTGGAATCTGAGCTGCTGCTTTAACACCCCTTTTGCTCAGGTAGCAACAGTGGCAAGAGGCAGACCCAGCTGTCCTATGGGTCAGGGTCAAGTGAGAAGAAACACCATATTCCTGGCTCCTTGGCCTTCTCACAGCTCTTAAGGAATCATACCAGCAGCTTATTTATAAAGGGCAGGAAAGCCCTAATCCTCTCCTTCAGAAAGAGGATTGCTCAGCAAGAGAGCAGCAGATACTTGTGTGGGATCAATTCTTTTGCTCTCACTGGTGAGCAGCCCTCTGCTTTATAGGGCATGTTTGCCTAAATATCCCCTCTCCCTCCTCTACCAGAATGCCACTTAACATTTCACCATTGGAGAACCATTCCTCATTTCCATCTTCATTCTTATTATTTTAATAGGAATTAAGGTGGTTAAATGCTGGAGGGGGAGCACATTTATTTATTTATTTATTTATTTAAAATATTTTCAGTGTTCCAAGATTCATTGAGAGCATGTTCATTTAGAATACCATCACTACTCTCAGCCATGAACAGTGTAGTGTGACTGCCTTCCCCAACAGATCTACTGAGATAGATGGGAATTCTAAATCAGAGCGTGGGCAGGGGTGGGGTAAGAAGGAAATGGAGGTGGGGTATAGAAGTTAACCCCTGTTTGAAGAAATTGGGCCTGGCCAGGATATCAGAGCAATACCAGATACTGTGACACTCTTACTCTATTTTGTCAGGGCCTGATCCATCTTTGGGGTTTGATCTCTTCTAAAGGGACGGCAGTCTTTCTGCACCACTCACTGCCTTCCAGCATTAAAGTTCTTTGTACTGGGAGCTGGTTTCTGAATGGCTGCTTCTAGCAAACTAAGGACAGGGGTCTTGATGGAATGAGTTATCTGAGGTAGGGAAAAGGGACTGCTGTCTCAAGAAGTGAAATCCAGAGGAGGAAACACTTCTGGCCTAGGGACTCCCATAGATTTAGATAACACTCTCATCCCACAGACAAAGCAAGCCTTTGTAATGTTTGCAAGCAAAGCTTTGATAAGGCTCAGTAATGAAAGCAGTCCTTGTCTGCATCGAGTCCATATTGTTCTTGAGAGCGGGTGTGGGTAGGAGGGCAGGGGTGGGAAGGGAGAATGAGAAACCGGGCTGTGGGGCTGGAAAAGCGGGAGGGAGAAGAGCAGCATCGAAGAAGGAGGTATTTAAGGCTTTGGCTTAGGCTGTGTGTGGGCAGTCTCACGTCAGTCCCTGCCGCGCGCTGGTGCTGTGGTGTGGACCGACTGTGAGGGCAGCCCCAGGGACAGCTGGGGTCTGCGTTTAGATGGATGAAGAGACAAAACCAAAACAAACCAACACGGGTTGGGGGGAGGGAGGGAAACAAGGGCAGAGTGGCCACCCAAGGCACATTTACTGTCTTTTACTTCCTTTTCCATCCTAAGGCCAGGAGGTCTCCTTTTCACTCTTGGCTTAGTTCCCACAGGTTCCCTCCTGACAAACATTTAGCTAGCATGTTCTCAGTGACTCAGAGTGACTCAAGCCAGGTGCCAGCACCTAACATTTGGGGGCTGACTCAGTAATGCATCGGCTTGTCCCAACATCCTTTCACACAGTATGTCAAACTAAGCCAGCTCTGAGAATCTCAGAAGAAATGGGATGACCTTGGACAGGAGCCAAGGCCATGTACTTACTGTAGAGGTCAGTTTCATCCAGGATCTCCGACTTAATGATCTCCTCTATGATGTCCTCCAGGGTGACAATTCCCATTACCTCATAGAAGGGGTCTCCTTCTCCCTCATTGTTCACCCGCTGGACAATGGCCAGGTGAGATTTTCCTAGAGAACAAAGCAAGTTCCAGTTAAGGATCTGGAATATTTTTAGAAATCTTTCCTTACGAGAAAATTATACAAAGTTGCTCTGTGGCTAATCTTGGGACTGAACTCATCTGAGGACCTACTTAATATATGAAGTTTGTGTATAAGCTCCTACAAATGCAAATCTTATGCTTTCTTTAAAAAAGATTTTATTTACTTATTTGAGAGCGAGAGAGAACACAAGCAATCAGAAGGAGGGGCAGAGGGAGAGGGAGAAGCAGACTCCCTGCTGAGCAGGGAGCTGGGCATGGGGCTCTATCCCAGGACCCTGGGATCATGACTTGAGCCGAAGGCAGATGCTTAACCAACTGAGCCACCCAGGCACATCCAAACCTTATACTTTTATATCTCTTTCTTTTCTAGAGAGATTAATTACCTAATAAACACAAAGCCAGTTAACTTTTTTCTTTTAGCTTTCACATATTAACAAGTACATCTAAGCTGAAGGAGGATGAATAATTTTTTTTTTAATTTGTACCTGCTAACATGTGCTTACAGATGACAAAAGACTAGTATAACAGCACTCTTGGAAAAGTGATTTCTTAAAATTATTTTCTGTAATTGGATAATTTCTATAGTGTGGAGCTCAGAATATATATAATAGAGCCATATTTCTGCCACTAAGAGATTAGTTCATATAATGGGATTAAATAAATGAACATTTTATGATGCTTCACAGAGGGCCATACCCTCTGTGTGAAAATCAACCATTGGTCTACACTTCATAAGGTCAGTTTGAGGATATCCACTCTGTGAGCACTAGGGAATAGAGATGTTAAGTCCTAACTGTATAATATTCAAGACAATACACTTACATAATCTATTAGAAATATTTTGTAATTCACAATCAGCCTTTCTGATCTCCTCAAATGCCTACAGAGATCTATCAGACAAATGAAGGAAGTTGTTCTTTGTTGGGTACCGACTGAAATAGGAATCAGAAATCGCATAACATCAGAAACCAGCTGTGCTCATGACACACAGACCTGAGGTCCATCTTCTCTCAAAAAGGTTGCCCTTTAAGAGACCCATCTCCCTGTACCCCTCTTGGCCTCCGAAGGGTTGGCTCCCAGTGAAGCCAGTCTTGAGACATGGACAATATAGTCACTCCTTCCCACCACAGCACTTTGTACAGATCTCTCTTTGGCATTTATAACAACAATAATAGCCATTATTATTATCATTATTATCATCATCAGCATCATCATCACAGCTACAATTTGCTATACCTTCTCCAGGAGCCAGGCATAATTTCACCATACTATTGTGATTTCCCCTCCTATAATGGCAAGCTCTCTGAGGGGCAATAGCTATGTTCTACTTAACCTCCATTTCCCCAGAATCTAAGCATAGCACATGGCCCAGAGTAAGAGCTCCATAGCTAGTGGGTGACAAATGGATATCCATAAGCAAAGGAATGAAGCTGGATGCCTACCTCGCATTGTACACAAAAGTTAACTCAAAATGGATCAAATGCCTAAATGTATGAGTGAAAACTATAAAACTCTTAGAAGAAAACGTAGGAGTAAATCTTTGTGACCTTGGAGTAGAAAATATTTTTTATATTTTCTATATTTATATTTTCTATATTATATTTATAAGACACCACTAGCACAAGCAACCAAGAAAAAAATAGATCAACTGGACTTTAGAATGCTTTGAGAACGTATTTAATGGACTACCAGCAAATCCTATATCTGATAGGGAGCTTGTATCCAGAATATATAAAGAAAATTTACAACTCATAAAAACACAACTTAATGAAAAAGTGGGCAAAAAATGGAACTAGACAGTTATTGAGGAAGATATACAAGTGGCCAATAAGCACACGAAGAGATGCTTAGCATCTTCATCATTAGGGAAATGCAAATCAGAACCCTAAGGAGATACCACGTCACACCCACCAGAACAGCAATAATAAAAAAGTTAGTAACAAACGTTGATACGGATGTGGATAAACTGGAACCCTTAGACATTGTTGGTGGGATTATAAAATGAATTACCTGCTTTGGAAAAGTTTTGTGGTTTCTCAAAATATTAAAAGTAATTTATCATATGATTCAGTAATTCTACTGAATCCATATATGGGTGTATACCCATACTTTGGTAAACCCCATGCAAACTGAAAGCATATGTCCTCCCCAAAATGTGTACAGAAAGGCTCATATTATTTTTTTTTAGGTTCATATTATTCTTAATAGCTAAACCATCAAAACAATCCAAAAGGGCATCAACTGATGAAAGGATGAATAATATGTGGTATATCCAGACAATGCAATATTATCTGGCCATAAAAAGGGAATGAAGTAGGGGTACATGCTACAACATAGACAAACTCTGAAAACATTATACTGAATGAAAGAAGATAGACCCAAGAAGACACACCTTGTATGATTCCATTTACATGAAATGTCCAGAATAGGCTAATCTATACAGAAAGAAAGTAGATTAGTGATTGCCAGGAGCTAGGGGAAGAAAGGGATGGGGAAAAACTACGGGGTTTCTTTTGGAGCTGATGAAATGTTCTAGAATTGGATAGTGATGGTTGCACAACTGATGGCCCACTGAATTGTATACCTTAAAAAGGTGAATTTTATGGTATTTGAATTTTATCTCAATAAAGTTGTTATTAAAGCCAATTGGAAAAAAAAAAAAAAAGAACCAGTGCTTGAATGAGCAGGAAGTCAGTGGGTGCGTAAAAATAGGACTGGTTTCATAAAAAGAGAATAGGTTGAAATACAAGAGCAATACTGGTTTGGACACAGGTGGTGATGCTGGTCAAATGCTAGTTTAGAGCACTTGTCATTTTGTGCTCTAGGATGTGGCAGAGACCAAAAAGCAGACAGAGGTGAGGCCATCAGGAGAATAGGAATGGGGGAGAGGGCACCATCTTGTCAATTTCTGTGGTGGTGGAGAAGGCAAGCAGGGATGAGGGTTTGTCACAGTTGGGAAGAAAGAATCTAAGAACAAAGATCTCTTTAAGACATAATGAGGCAAGAGGTAATGTTTTACATAGAAAACTTGTGAATGCTACTGCTTTATGAGGTACTATGTCCTTGGACCACACTACTGTGGCACTGAACACCAACAGATGGGAAATTTGGGAGCTGAGTTGAACGATCCAGACACAGGGGATTTTATGGCAATGTACTTTCTAAAAGTTAAGGCTACATTTGTCTCTGTTGTAAAGAGTATATTTTATTCTGGGTTTACTGGTGTTCTACTTTTGAACTAACTATAGACACTCTGTCCTCTGGCTTAAATCCCTGCCATGTTCCTGGTATCCGGTCTCAGCAGAAGCCCCAACTCTATCCTGATGGTTTGACTTGCCAACATGCCTTTCCTGGCATCTGGCAGCTGTGAGCTCCTTAAGCCTTGGTTTGCTTCCCTCCAGCCTGGACTAATTTCTCTCAGTCTCTGATTTAGAGTCTATAACTTTAATGCTGTCCACACCCTACTGAGACACTCCTATGGCCAGAGTCTTGCTTGGACCACCTCATTAGGATGTTTTGATTGGAACTCAGTCCTCAATGGGGTCAGTTACACTTATCTGGGATTAAGTCATATTATAGCCCTCCATTAAACATAAGACCCTCCAAGGCCAATCCCTTGGAATGCATTTTACTAGTTCAATGGTTGACAACACTGGAGGTACGATAGGATCATCTGAGAAGCTTTGATGGTCTAAAGACTATATCCCAGGGTGCCTGAGTGGCTCAGTGGGTTAAAGCTTCTGCCTTCAGCTCGGGTCATGATCCCAGGGTCCTGGGATTGAGCCCTGCATCAGGCTCTCTGCTCGGCGGGGAGCCTGCTTCCTCCTCTCTCTCTGCATGCCTCTCTGACTACTTGTGATCTCTATCAAATAAATAAATAAAATCTTTTAAAAAAAATTAAAGACTGGATCCCACACACAGAGATCCTGATGTCAACCATTTGGGGTGGGGCCATGGCATCAATAGTTTAGAACATTCCCCAGGGGATGCTAATGCTCAGCCAAAGCTGAGAACTACTACTTGGTTTATAGTCACGGTTCTCAAAGTGTGCTCCCTGGACCAGCAGCATCAGCAGCACTAGAGAACTTAGTTAGAAATGCTAATTCTCAGGGCCCACCCCACCCCTAGTAAATCAGAATCTCAGGGGTTGTGCCCAGTGATCTGTGATTTTAATAAGCTCAACAGCTAGCTTAGATGCAGGCTAAAGTTTGAAAACCACTGGTTTATGGGTAGTCTCTGGCACTCTGGTTATTTGTCGAATGACTTACTAATGAGGAAGAAAAACAAGCACTGAGATGTCTAGTAAAATCCTGGTCCCTTTGGTGCACCTGGTTTAAGTTGCCAGATGCTAAGTACTTAAGACAGAAAAGAACCTCCTGGAACAAAGGGTAGCTGTAGTAGCAAGCTGATGTGTGTGCTCTCCCATATGTGTGGTGGTTATGGCATTTGGTTTGACACTGGGCAGAGAGTGAGTGTTGATTGTTTAACGCTGTGCTTGAAAAGGGGTTTCTTATAGCTTTTGTACCAATCACCTCTGAGACAAGCTTGAGGTACTGCAGTATCGGTTAGGTTCTTGGTATGCCTCACTCAGATCAATAAAATTTCCCACTACTGAAAATCAAACCAGTCACTTCTCTTGTCCCCCAAATCCAAAGGATGGTTCTAGTACTGGTTTCTGGAAGTAACCTATCTCATCACCACAGGCATCAACACACCCAAACTGCACGTCACATTTCTTAGAAGGGCAACTAGGTTTTTCAAGCATTGCTTTTAAAGCAATGGTTCTCAACTGGGTTGATTCACTGTCCCCACCCCCCCCCCCCCCCCCCCCCCCGGCCAGGGGACATTTGACAATGCCTGGAGACAAATTTGGGTTTTCACACTTGGGGTGGGGAATGCTACTGCAATCTAATGGGATATATTAGAGCATCAGTAAGTAAGTCAATAAGAGGTGGCAATACCACAACT